CGAACGCAATATGCGGTAGCAAGAAGACAAACAAACCACCGATGGGCATCGTATATAAAGAAGAACACATGCACAAGATGTTGTCGCCCAATACGTAGCACCAACCAAGTTATGAATCATCAAAATGAATAAAAAATCAATATCATCGCTACTTCCTTCCTTCCTTCCTTCATTCCTTTCCTTCCTTCTTCCTCCCCCCTTTCCCTTTTCCCAGTGTACTACCTAACATCAGTCCAAACCCCCGTCGTCTCCACCACCAGGTTGAAGACGGTGCCCAAAGTCCATATCCCAATCAGAGTCCATCCAATGCGTTTATTCATCACCCACCCGTTACTCGGCACCAAGATCAACAACGAGACCAGCGTGACCAACACGGTAATGGCCGAAATCATCAACGTCCCGCCCACTTGCAGCTTATAAGGCTTGTATCTGAAGGGCAACTCGGGGTGCTTGGCGTGGCGCTTGTTGGCCGACGATACAATCATCCAGGCGCCTCCCAAGCCGATGCCGAGGAGGATGTTGAGCATGGGGCCGCCGAAGCAGGCTGCTCTGTTAGGGGTGTTAGTAAGTGTTTTGTAAGACGGTAGGTAGTACAGGAGCGGTGTTTTGGAGGAGGGAAAGCGAGCGTAGCGAGGTAAGAGATGAAAAGGCCAGCGCAGCGGCACATAAAGAGGAGAGGGAAGAGCAGATGGGGGGAAAAGGGGGAATACTCACAAAGCCATAACCGGCCACCCCAGCCTAGCAACAGTAACATCAGCCACCAAATCCCCCAACGAATTCCCGACGGCAAAAATCGTCAATCCCAAAATGGCCTCGCTGATGCCCAAGATCACGCCAAAAGCTTTCAGGATGCCCACCACTTCGTTGGCTATGGTCGAGATCCAGGCGATACTAATCACGAATCCCAGAAAACAGAGCAAAAAGTGGTACTTGGGTTTCTTGTCGGCGCGTGTGGTTAAAAGTAAGATGCCAAGGCAGGTCAGGGAGAAGATTAAGCTGTAGAGGGTCATTTTGAGTAAAGCGCGGCCGGGCGAGGGGAGCTCGTCGATGGTGTTGGCCCAGTATATGAGCACGACAAAGAGAGGACCTGTGAAGAGCTGGAGGGAGATGAGCCAGCGGCTCCAGCCTTCTTGGGCGGCTTTTTCGTCGTTTTCGGTTCCGTTCTCGGTTACGTCATCGTTGTCATTGTCATTGTCGTTGTCGTTGTCGGAGTTGGGGTTGGGATTGGGGTTGTGGTTGTCGGCCAGAGTCGTGGGTCCGGCGGCGGCGCCGAGCTCGTCTTCCTCAACGATAGTCGGGTGGGAACCGTGACGACTGTGGCCATAGCGCTGGTGCGGATTGAGTTTCATAGCCTGCTGGACTTGGGCGCCGAGATTGGTATAGCCGTTGGTGTGCGCTCTGGCTTCCGAGGTCAACCTCGTCCGTGGGGATGCAAGCGTTACGTAGGATGGCGAGGCTGTCAGCGGGGAGTGGAGGGGTGAGCGTGCCAAGGGTGAGCGCATGGGAGACCGATTGGAAGCGGAACGTGTGCGACGACGGAATTCCTGCCACTCGGTTTCGGGGCGGATGTGGGCGCTTGACTCCAAAGATACGGGGACGGCCATGTGCCCTGGTTGTCCATGGCTGTGGATTAGGTTGATTGCGGAGGATTCAGCGGGACCACTCACTTCGTCGTCATCGTCGCGCTCGGACTCGGTTTCTACTACGGGGAGAGTGATGGCGAGGACAAAGACGGAGGGAGCCGAAATCAAGCTGACGAACTTGTCCCACCAGGACTTTTCAGACCAGCCTTGGAGGGTTGGGAAGAGTGTACCGAAGAAGATGTGTGGGGGCGGAAGAATGGAGTAGGGCCAGTACTTGAGAGGTTCCTCTTCTTCTTCATAGCCGCCAAATATGGCGATGGAGGAACGTCTTCTCTCGGACGGTGTAGGGAAGACAAAGGCTGATTCGGGTAGCTGTTGGGGTGTGAGCGCTGTGGGAGACTCGGAGAACATGGGGAAAGGCGAAAGAGTAGGCGATGCCCGGTTGCTGGAGGCGGTACTATCCGGAATTTGGAGGTGTAGACCCATTGTCCTGGGTGTTGTTTTTCTCCATTGATGCTGAAGCAGCCCTTGATTGACACCTCCGGTATCAAGAGGAGGCGCAAGCCTGCCGTCAACGGTTCGAGTGGTCGAGCTACCTCTAGTATCTGGACGCAGATTGGGACTCTCGTTTGGACGAGGCCCTGGTGTTAGTGCCGGGCTTGTGTGCCCCGTTTCTGAACCGCTTCGAAAAGCTGGTAAACCGAGACTGTCCAGGTTAAGGGGTGAATGTCCGGATGACAAGGCGCGGTCTCTGCCGGACCTGATAGTCGAGAGGGTCGGCAGTGTGTCGAGGGTGTATTGACGCCCCCGGTATAACTGATCCTCGCGAATCAAAGGTAGTGATGGTTGATTTGAGAAGTAATCGGAATTCCCCCGTCGATGTCCACGGACGTAGCCGCTATGCTGGTTTCTTTCCTTCTGTATTGACGACAATATCGACCGGAATTCCAAAGCACCGACAAGACTAGGTCTGATGGGAGTGATGGTGGAGTTGCTTCGGCCCCAGCGGGGACGGTTGACGCGCATGCTGCTGGTCATCTCTGCAGCCACTTGCAGATCGCGGTGTTCATCCTCTTCTTCCTCGCTTGGTGTAGATGCAATTCCGTGTCCGTCAACTTCTATTCTGGGACCATGCTCCAGAGCGCTGATGTCGGTCTGAGCAGTACGAGGCCGATGATTTCCCGAAGCTGCTTCATCATCCTCTGGTTGATCCCGGTATGGCTCCAGCTCTCCTGATGGCTCGGGTGTAGAGCCATAAAAGTGAGCACGAGCAGCAGCTTCCCGTTGTTTCCTCTTCCTCCTCCTGTCCGTGAACCACTGCCACGCAAACACCAAGATGACATAGAAGATATAGCAGCCAACCATGGCGTTGGCCTCCCACAGGTGCAGTTCCTGATCCAACAGGAACATCATGGTAAAGCTGATGGAAACAATGAAGTAAACGATATCTCGGACGAAGGTTCGTTTCTGGACCTTGAACTCGCGAACCAAGGCCATGGACCCGGCTACCACGGCAGTGATAAAACCAGCAGCACCGATCAGCTCACCCACCGCCATGCTCCCACTGTTGGAACTCATGGCGGCAAAGGTGCTAAAGACATCCGGGGAGCCATTGCCCAAGGCGAGGAATGTGACGCCGGCAAGATTCTCGCTTAGACCTAGGACGCTCGAGATGGTGCTGAGGTTGATGCTGAAGAAGTCACTGGCAGCGATGCCGATCGTGGTAAATAGGAGGCCCAGCCATGCGGTCAGGACGGCAAAGGCGACGGGTTTCGCATTGGGTAGCGTGCAGTAGTAGAAGCTCAGGTAGTGTATTAGGCCGGCATCCTCGTCTTCGCAGTTGGCCAATATGAAGGCGCATTGGTCTTGGACCAGGTGGACATCGCGGCAATCGACGGGGGCGGTCGGTTCGTGCTTGTGGTGGCCTCTCGCGAGGATTCGCGCAATATCATGTGGTTGTTGTTGATAATGTTCGGGTTGGCGCAACAAGCGTGATGTCGCGAAGGGTCTGAGGACGAGCGCATAGGTTGCTAGACAGGTTATAAGGAGAGTCGACACGATAAAGGGTCGGGAGCTGAAGGGGCTCCGTTTCTGGCGATGTAGCGACATGCTGGACCTTTGGTCATGGCATCGCGTGGGGAATACTGGCTGTATGTGCTGGTGTGTTGACCCAAGTGTCGCCAAGGTGATGGATGATGGATGGATGGATGGACCGGCGGGGCAATCCAACGGCAGTTATCGTTGGGTCGCAATCGCAACTGTAATCGCAAGATACGTATGTAAATGATGGCCGGAAAAAAAAAGAGAGAAATTGACCAGCGGCAGAAATCGAAAAGAAAATAAAAACAGATAAGGCTACAAGTAGTATGTATACGATTGACGGGACGATGGCGTGGCTCGCGTGGGCGGGATTGCTGTGTTATGGAGGCGGAATGAGATCATCGTCGCAAAGTTGCCAAGGTGATTTCGGGTGGCCAGAAAGGTCGGATTAGGACTGGTGCGTCGAGGGATCCATGCGCCGCTTCTCTGAGACAAGACGATTGATTCATTGCATTGTTGAGATGGGTAAGTAGACGATGGGCGGAAGGTAGGTATCTATTAGATTGATCCTATAGGAAATAGATGATTGGGAGAAAGTTGAACAGAAAGATGGAAGCTATCGATGTATGTAATCTAGAGTATGTAGAGGCAAAGGGCAGAGAAGGAAGGCGGGGAATATTAAAAGAGGTGACCTTCCTGGTTGGGCAGGAGACATATCGCTGTGTTACCGTGTTCCTGATCTCAACAAGTTCCCTGCAGCAACCGAAAAGAAAAAAAAAAAAAAAAAAAAAAAAAAAAAAAAAAAAAAAAAAAAAGGCAGAACAAAATATAAAAAAGAAAGGAAATTCATGGAAAGGTAATGCTACGTTCTAACGTCTGCAGCCCCATGCGCAACCCGGTTGGACATGGAGACGCTGTTTCGGTTGGAGTCTTTTACGGTAGAGTAGGAATACAGTGCATACATACGCGAGCTCCAATCGATGTGGGTGACCAGAGATGAGTCTTGATCACATCACAAAGAGGTCAAGACGGGGGAGGTATCCCATATGCCCTGCCACTTGTACACTAGGTAGAGGTAGATATACGTCTCCTTTCTCTGCATAGGTACCTACCTTACGTGACAACTTCGGACTCGGGAACTTGAATCGGAGTTTCAACTCCCCAAGTGAACCCCACATACAAGGTACACGTGTAGTGTAGTGTACCAGAAGGGGGCTCTGTGTGATCGCCAACGGCCGCCGCATGTCCCTTGTACTGTACGTGTACGGATGTAATGTACAGTACCGCTGTACCTGAGCGTAACTGTAGCTTAGTCATTCAATGCCAGGAAGCACCCCAGACTTCCTCCCTTCAACTTCACCCCGCTGTTGGGCTCCAGCACGTGCCGCCACCCGGCACCAGCCCGCTGAGACGTGGATCCGTCTACATAGTGCCCGCGCTATCCATCCAGCATTGGCACCACTCCCATCGTGGTTGCAGGCGGGTCAAAGTAAACAAACACCACTGAAACTCCAAACTAGACAGCGGCCGCCTGGAGCTTCACATCTTGGATAGCTTCATCAACACCGCCAAGATGCCTCGCCTCAGCACAGGTCCACGACGGAGCATGAGCAAGGGCCCTGCGGTGCCATCCCCGCTCAAATCCCCCGGCCTCAAGTACGTCTTTTCTTTGGATTGCGAATCGCGAATTGAATATCCTATCGCGTCCCTCTTTTAGTTTTCTCCCTTGTAACTGACCAAAGATTCCCGTCCCGACTAGAATCCCACTAAACGACGACGCCCAAGAAAAGGAACAACGGTCGCGAGGACGCAAAGCCCTCCACGAGGCCCAGATCAACCAGCTCAAACTCGCCGCGACCGCAATCGCAACCCCCGCCCGCAGCGTAATCGACGAAACTGGCACTCCGACCTCCAACGGACCGCGCACCCCGCGTCGCCGCATCTCGGGCAAGGAGAACTTCTCCATCCTCGACGACGATGACAGGCCGGTTGTGGGCGGCGCCGTCGTCACCCCCATGAAGCGCGTCCCTATCCTGGCCAACTTTGAGGAATGGATGAAGATGGCCACCGACAACAAGATCAATGCCGCCAACTCGTGGAACTTTGCGCTGATCGACTACTTCCATGATATGTCGCTGCTCAAGGAGGGAGACGGTGTCAATTTCCAAAAGGCCAGTTGTACGCTGGATGGGTGTGTCAAGATCTATACCAGTAGAGTCGACAGTGTTGCGACGGAAACCGGAAAGCTGCTCAGTGGTTTGGCCGACAGCCGCGACAGCAAGAAGAGGGATAGGGGTGAGGGTGAGGACGGCGGCGATGACGATGAGGAGGAGGACGAGGTGGACGAGAACGGCAACGTACTAAAGAAGCGTAGAAAGAAGGTTGGTTGCTCGGCTCACTGTTACGGGCGGGTCGGATGATACTAACAATTGCAGACCCAACGATCCTCCGAAGCCACACTGGCACCCTCTTTCGCTTCCCTACAGCTCAAAAAGTTCGAACTCGAATTCTCAGTAGATCCGCTCTTCAAAAAGGCATCAGCAGACTTCGATGAGGGAGGCGCTAAGGGTCTCCTCTTGAACCACCTGATGATCGATTCGCAGGGTCGCATCGTCTTTGACAGCAGCGACGACGCCATCGACACTCTCGACTCACGCAACCAGAAAGCCGCCGAAGAAAACGACCAAGATGCCGACCCGGACGCCATGGATATCGATGCGATGGAAATCGACGGCCAAACCGAAAAGACCCAGACTCGAACCCAACAACAAGAAGAAGAGGAGGAGGACGATGTGGAGATCGACATTGCCAGTCTTGGTGCTAGGTTTTTCCCAGATCTCGGACGACTAGACGAGATGGATGTGTGCCCGTCACTCAAGACGTTCATCCTCGGGGACCCCTCCGGATCCCTCGATATTCCCTTCCTCAGAGCGCCGGAGGACTGGCGCCAGGAGCAAGATAGAGCCAAAACCCCTGGCCTTGGCAACAAATCCGGCTTCATTATTGATGAGGAGAATCCGCTCGGTTTCGATGACGACGATGCGCTGGGCGCATTCGACCTGGGAGGAGACGTCGACGTAGCCTTCGGTGAGGGTGGAGAAGCCTGGGCCCGCGAAGCCGCCATCGAGCCGCAAATGATGCGGGTCTTCGACGCCGGTCTAGACATAGGAGAGGGCGAAGGTGGTGACGATGGTGATGGAGTAGACGGCGACCTCGAAATGATCGACCAAGACAAGGGTGATTTCGGCATGGTTAACATGACCAACGCCCAAAAGACGGACCGGCTGCACGAAGACATCCTCAGCTACTTCGACCAAGCCCTACAAAAGAACTGGACCAGCGCCGAGCACTGGCGCATTCGCAAGATCAAAGATGTCAACAAGCCCCAGACGGGAGAACCACAACGCCAGCGCAAGGAGAAACAGGCTTTCGAGATCGACTTCTTCACACCCGTGGATCGCACCCTTCACGACGTTCTGCACACCCAAGCCACCACCAACTCGACCATTTCGCTGCCTAAGAAGGACTGGAAGTCCAAGTCGCGCAACCTGCTGCCGGACGACAAGCACTTCAGCTCCAAGCAGCTGCTCAACCTCTTTCTCAAGCCCAAGGCCCGTCTCGGCCGCAAGCAGCGCGCCTTTGGTCGTTCCAATGCCGACAACCAAAACCCAGACCAAGTCCCCGAGGGCGCCATGGACGAGGCCTTCTGGGCCCAACAAAAAGCGCCGCTTAACCAGGGCCCATCATCGCAAGGCGACCATCTACCGCAGGGTGACTACGACGCCAACTTCTTCCAGGATGACGGTCTGCCGTTTGCCAACGGCGGGGACGACGATGACGACGAAGACATGGACGAGGAAGTCTTTGCTGACGCACGGGATCACTTTTCTCCTGGCCCCGGTGGCACGCAAGGGGATGGCGCTGTCGGCAAAGAAGGCACAGCAGGACTGACCATGGACGTGGGCATGACGGGCGCATTTAATGGGCTGACGGTTACGAACCCGGCCGATTTGGCGTTTGGCACGATGCTGGTCACGCAATCACGAAGAGTCAGGCCCGAGTATGTGCAGTATGCGAGACGGGCCAAGAAGGTGGATGTCAGGAGGCTGAAGGAGGAACTTTGGCGGGGGATGGGGATGGACATGTTGGATGGCGTACGTTTTTTTTCTTTTCTTTCCTTTTTTCCCCCCTCTTTTTCTTTTCTTCCTTTCTGTTTTTGTTATCCTCATTTTATTCCTATCAGTTACTAACATCACAAAAACAGACAACACCAAACCCCGAAGACTCCCTCCTCTCTCCACCACTAACAACCCCATCTGCCCAACCGGGCTCAGAACCTCCCAAAGAAGGGGAAGAACAAAAACCAACGCTCAAGTTCACAGAAGTCATGAACTCGCTGCAAAAAGTTTACCCCAAAACGGCCATGGACGACATCTCCACTAGTTACTGCTTCATTTGCTTGTTGCATCTTGCCAACGAAAAAGGGTTGGTGATTGAGAAGAGCGACGAGTTGACGGAGCTGTATATAAAGAAGGACGCGAATGCTGTTGTTGAGGAGGGCGGTGGTGAGTGAGTGAGTGATAATTGGGCGCTAGATGGAGATAGATAGCATGGGGGTTGTTTTGGGAGTGGATGTAGTTGTAGTGTGAGGGAGACAGTGTGTGAGATATAGATACCCCAGTTTAGCGGGAAGGTTGTGTTTTGCAACGAAAACGAAGAGGATAAATACGCAAATGAGGATGGGTGGTTGGGTGGGTGTGTTTCTTCTTCTTTTTTTTCCCCCTCTGTCTGGGTGGATGGGCGTATGATCCAGGATAAGGTATATATGGTATATCGAGAATATATGAAATATGGGTTACGGAATGGTATACCCAACGGGTCTCTGACAGTGTTGGTTTTCAATACAGAGAGGTGAGATGAGGAGATATGTATGTATTACCAGCGTGTGAGATCAGGTGAAAGGTCAACTGAAGTAAAGGAGCAAGAAAGAGCCTGTAAACAACCACTTGGTCACGCATCATATCGTTCTCGAGGACTCTCCATTGTGTGTCTTCAAATCATCATTACCAATTATCTTCATCCCTTATAGGTTTTTTTTACTTTGTTCTTCCATCATCATCATATCCCCACCCCCCCCCCCCCCTTCACAGGTAGGTAACCTCTGACCCCCCCCCCCCCCCCCCCCCCCCAAGACTTAAAGGTCAAAAAGCTTCCTCAGCTCGGCCGCCGTATCCTCCGGCCCGGTAACCGAGTGACCAATAGTCCTAGGATCCTCGTAGATCTCGTAGTCGTTACCGCCCTTGAAGGTCTTGTCGCCAAAGAAGTGGATGGTGTCGTACGTGATACCGCCGGCCTTCTTGGCCTCGTTCTCGAGGTGCTGCAGGCAGTAGGTCTTGTCCCAGCCGGTAGGGAAGACGTCGAAGGAGATTTGGCCGCCGATGGAAAAGCTGTTTTACGTCTCTCTGTTAGCTTTGTTGCCTCACTGAAAGAATGTGGGGGGGAGGAAGAGATCGAGCGAAGCGAGGTAAAGAAAGAAAGAAAAAAAAAAAAAAAAAAAAAAAAAAAAAAAAAAAAAAAGGCCGAGCGCAGCGGACACCACACCACCAAACGGGAGAGGACAAGCAAAAGGAAAAACGAAAGAGAGAGAGCAGAAGAAATACATACGTCAAACCCAAATGCCCAAACCTCTCCCTCAACTTCTCCACCATCTCCTTCCGCACGCCCGCCTCCTTATCAAACTTTTCAAACTCGTTTCTCTCCGCCGTGCTCGCATTACGGCCAATCGGGCTGACATTGATCATGCCGTTCCTGTACTCGATAAACGTTCCGCGCTTGATGGGGATTTCCAAGTCGGCAATGTAGTGCAGGATCCAGCGCACCAGCTCCTTGTACTGGTCCTCGCCAATGTACTTGATGAAGCTGTTGGAGGGCAGCGGCTGGCCGAGCTTGTAGGCCGTCAAGCCGTTCTCGGCGAAGCAAAAATCAAAAAGGGTGGTGACGTCGACCGAGGCGGAGCCGAGCTGTTCTTGCTGCTTGACCAGGTCGGAGCCGCCGACGAAGCCGATGGCGCATTTTTGGCGGAGGGCCGAGAGGAGGGAGAGCATTTCGGGTGAGACGGTCTGATAAGAGGTTGATCGGGGGCGGGGGCTGTGTTAGTTACATCGGTGTATACATTTAAAGAAGGGATGTCGAAGCTAAAAATAGGTGAAGATATCACCACCAGCTGGCTCACAGAAAGGCAACAGGGCCGGATTCAAAGAGCAGCTTTAGAGGGGGGGGGGGGGGGGGGGCAGAGAGGACAGACATACCAGTCTCGCGGGGGTAAGGGTGCCATCGACATCGAACAAGCAGATGGTGTTCTTGAGCGGGCGCTCCTCGAGAGGAGGGTAGGTGACGGGGGCAGCGGCAGCCATTGTGATGATGGTGCTTTTTGGTGTTGTGGTGGACGAAGATGGAAAGGGACAAAGTAATAAACCCTGAAAAGTGTACAAAGCTTGGGGAGGGGAGATGGCCAACTATATAAACGCCTCGCAGCGACGACAATGTACCCGACACTATACAACTTCAGATCACTTGCCTCAATTGTTCTGTCAATGGACGAGGACAAGGTAAATTAGAGCGGGGCCGCCCCGAGGCGGTCAACGTGTTCGGTAAGGTACCTTTACCTTCCTGGTTATTTACACCTCGCTGCAGTTTGTTGCCATTTGGGGGAGAGGATGAGCGATGTACATACCTGCACCAATCATCCCCACAATTGCGGTAAGTACACGATGTGATCCCGTACATATGTACATAGATGTCCTCTATGGAGATGACATTCAACAGCTTCGTCAAGTATACTGTTAGCACGTTTTGGACACCTATTACTTGATACCAAGTGAACTTTAGGAGACATCCATCTCATCCATCCTCTTACAGCCGAGTTCAGCGAGTCAAGAGCTCCAAACATCACAAGGACAAGACGGCATTCAAGCATGTGGAGGGGTGTGACGAGACCCACACTTTTGGGGCGGGGTCGTTTTTCGTTCTGCAGGGGCTGACCACTACTTGGGGGGTTCTGGGCGCCAAGCTTTCTTTCCCCCCTACATTACATGCCAAGTAGAGCAGATCCACCAGCCAGTCCCCTGCTGCGCTTTGTTGTTGCCCCTGATTTCCGTTGGAGCTGAAACTTGGAGATTGAAATTGTGTTTGATGAGATGAAGGAGGGTTAGGGTCAGATATGGGAGGGTTAAGTATCCAAGCTTATGCTTACTAGGTAGTTTTCTATCCTTCACCACAATTGCCTTGCCTCGTGTCCGATGTCTATGTCAAGAAGTGCATCTTACCCAATGCCACCAAGACGCCTACGAATGGCCAAAAGACTGCGAACGAGGAAAACATTATCTTTTAGAGTTAAATCATGCCCAATAAAGTGGTGCTCGTGTCGATGTTGGTCATGATAATAAGCCAATAAGAAGGACCAACACAAAAACCCCCATTAAACAAAACGAGGCTCAGTGAACATGACATGGCGACGACACGAGAGGAGACATATACATAATTATAGAAAAGAAACAAAAAGGAGGGGCCAAAAAGCACCGCCACTAAACCCAAACTTTATCCCCAAGTTCGTTCATGATCAGGCCTTGGGCTTGACTAGACAAAAAACGGACCCAGGCCGGAACTCGAAGGGCAAGAAACAGACAAGCAGGTAGACAGGCAGAGAACAACGGTAGACGCGTCACCAAGATTGATACTGCATCGACACCCTTCGACTCGATCTCCCACCACCACCTGCTGCTACTGACGCCACTCCTCCAAATCCCAGACCTCCCAGTCCTTCTCCAAGTCCAACTCCAAGGTTCCTCAGTGTCAAATCCAATGATCCCAACCACACTGGCTGCACTTCGCACGCAATTGTTCCCAACAAGCCGCCATTGCTTCTCCCATGGCGACCGCCGTCGCCACCTGTGCCCGCCGCCAAACTCCTTTCCGCCCTAGTAGCCAGACTCCCCGTGCTCCCGATTCGCTTTGGTGTTGATACTAGTTGTGACCCATCATTATTACCATCCTCGCTACCCCCGGCCCCGCTGCTATCACTCCCGTCATACCCCCACCCCATCCCATTCAACCCATTACTGATTTTCCTTCGTAGACTTCCCCATTTCCTTATCGACGGGCTTTCAACCCCGTTGTTCCAACTTGCACTGGCGCTTCTTCCCCTCACGCCTGCTCTCAACGTATCCTTGATTCCATGAACTGCCATCCTGCTATACCCCAGTCCGAACGCGTTCTACCGCTCCGGAATGGGCGTCTTGGCCAGTCTTCCGCCCGCACTCACCCTCTTCTGCAGCCTTGCTTCCTTCTCCTTTGCCAGCTTACTATCGCCGAGATTAACAGCGCCAGACCCGCCACCCGAAGCCGAAGAAAGCGCACTAACGCCATCGTACGAAGAACCGTAGCTTGTTGTTACCGCCGAGGTACCGATAGACTCGACGAGGGCGCGACGGCCACGCTTAATTTCAAGATAAGTTTGTGCGGCGTGGCTGAGGGGAAACATGGGCGGTGCAACGGGGATCTCAGCCCCGTTCTGGATCAGGAGTTCGGCGACAGGAAATGGGACCTGTTTATCAGGTCCCGTGGTCGAGGATCCAGGGGTGCCTGGAGAGGGAGAGGGGGTCATGGGGTTGGGTGAAGGAGGGGCCGGGTCGGCGGCGGCCAGGGCCAAATATACGGCGTGTGTACCCCTAGACTTGTCCGTTATATTGGGGTTGGCTTTGAGCGCGAGGGCGTAGATGACTTGTTGGATCTCGTTCTTCTTGATGGCTGCGAGGAGCGTCTCTTCGGCAGTTGGATACCGGGACAAGGTCGAGGATATTGGTTCGACGAATGCGCGGTCGACATACTTGGCCGTGATGAACCGAAGTCGTTGCTCCCGCGAAGCTTGTGGTACCAGCTTCTGTTGAGGGTCCAGGCGTGCCTCATATACCATGTTGGACACTCGATTTCCAACGAGCATCAAGAGCTCAATAATGTCCGGCGTAAACGATGTCGTGTCCAATGTGAGTGACCGGACTTTGCTGATATGCGTGCCAAGAGATCGGTGAATACCACTGCACTCGATGCAAACAATAATCGCCAGGTTGAGTGACACCCATTCGACCTTGTTGCTGGAGCCACAGTCTGCACACCACGAGTTGCCTTGGTCGTTCTCCCGTAGCATCTGGAGGAGCCGATCTGGGCTTTCGTCAAAGCTGGGTGCACGAGCTGTGCTAGGGCGAGCACCGACAGTCGTCCTCCTAGAAGGGATCGGGCTCAGATTCTGGTTGCTGTGGCCATGGAAATGGTGATGGTGGTGATTAATGGACGAGCTCTTGCCCGTCAATACTGAAGCGATGTCTCGCCTGTCGAAATCCGAGTGTCCTATAGATGATGGTGGCGGCTTCATATCCTTCAGGCCGCGCCCTTCCACCGCGCTTTGTAATGCGTTGTTGATAGCCATAATCCAGCTATTCATATCTTCTTCCGATGTTGCTTGATATACGCGTTTGAACTGTGGTGTGATAACTTCAAAACAGAACCGGCGCTCTGCGTTTCGAGCCTCTCGTACGGACGCCAAGCGCAGATCGATCGGATCCATGTGCAAGTCTAGTCTCTGCTTCCAATTACTGTATTCCGAAAGCTTGCCCTGGTCAAGCACAATCCAAAACCTGCATAATGTCAGTCCAGTCGTTCCACGAAATTTGGGGATAAGCAAACTACTCACTTGTGCCAGCCTTGTTTGTTGAGAGCTCGGGGATCAACATGCCCACCAGGCCGGTTAAGAGCCCACAAAAGTCCCTCTTTCCTTTGTGTCATGTTCTTGTCCGCCGCCAACTGGCTCGGATCCTTTTCTTCCAGGTCTCGAATACCCCGAAACTTTGTATTTTGTTGCGGGCTACCCAGAGGAGGTGGGAGCCCAATAAGACTCCCCGGCGACCTAGACAAATCGGTTTGTGGTGGTTGCGCTATTCCTGGTGTGATGGCCGACCGCAGCTGTGATCCTGTGCTGTCAGCGCGACCCAACTCAGACTCTCCATAGGACGCAGTTCCATTTTGGCCAGTTGAAGGACTGGGCCCGGACGATGTAGAAGGAGGCTCTGGCTCGGCATAAGCAAGGTTGCCCTTCTCCAGCAGCCTTCTCTTCTCTTCTCTCTCCCGTCGTTGATACTGATACGTCTTGTCCGCCTCTTGAACTTCTGTCGACAGTGCCTCAAGCTGTGGAAGGAGCCCCTCCACCTTCTTGGCCGTGGTGAGAAAAGCCTTTGCTTGAGCGTCCGCGTACTTTGTGAGATGGGAGAGAATTTCCTGCTCTTTGCGGCCTCCAGAAAGATCCTGCATGAAGGAAGAATAGTCGAAGCGCTTAAGTTCGAAGTTTTTGCGTTTGGTTTGGTATTTCGAGTCGCTCTGTTTCGCCTTGACAGAGTCGTGTCGCTGTCCCAAGTAGCGACTGACATAGGCGTAAAAGTCTTTACTCTCCTCCTCAAAGTCACGCTTCTTGGCTTCAGCTTGCTTGATATCCAACTGGTATAGCTTATTCATAGGGTCGATTACGATCTTTTGAAGATTTTGGGTGTTTTGCCGCTCGAACCTCAAAATTTCCCAGGCAATCTTGTCGAAGTAATGTTCAATGGCGGGCTGGACGGCGTTGGCGTTTGTCGACGAGACGTCCCTCAAAGCTTCCATAAACTGTAAAAAGGCGTCGTTGGCTTCCGTTTGCGCGGCGTACACTTGCTCGGCCCGCTTGATAAGTCGCTTCATCTGCATTCTCATGTTACCCGTCTTTTGTTCCAGGGCCTTCATCGTGGCTCGGAAGACGGGCCCGTCGTCAGATACCGACACATCCTCGCCGGGTCTCGGACATGGCACATCGACCTTGATGGGCTCTCTAACGGTTTGCGGCGGCTGAGGCGATTGAAGACCGGGCGGAAGAAGGCTAGGACCTTGATCAATCATGGGTAGATTCGGGGATGCCAAGAAGATTTCATCCTGCTCCAATGTGCTGTCGATTCCGGGACCCAAAGTCTGTACTGAGACCGCTCTGCCTTTTGGGGGGACGCTGAGAAGGGGAGGCGAGGGCGAACTAGGCTGACTAAGCCATGGCGAGTAACCTTGAGACTCGTTAATTCTTGTAAACAGGGGGAAAAAAGGGGGTCTGTATAGGGGGTTGAGGCAGGAACGTACTGCTTGTTACAAAGAATGAAAAGCTAGCGAGGGTGTGCAGTTTGTGCGCACGAGGATCGTACTCGACGAACTAGGCAAAGTTTCAGCAGATGTCCAGAAAGCACCAGCAATGGGGGAAACACAAACGCTGCAGAAGTTTCTCCAGCCGCCGCCCTTGTCTTCTGTGGGCTTGGGGGGCTTCCATTTCCACGTCCACTCAAACGATACCGAGGGGCTGCCGTCTGTCGCATAAACACCGACTAGCTCGACGTTTGCGTTCTTGTGAAGATTCGGGTCGGCCTCGAACTCGCGTGTAAGGAGGTTCTCAACCTCGCGGGGGGTGGAGCCGTAGACGAAGG